GCGGGAACAAGTTGGGTAAAGGTGATTGGCTAGTACAAAAGGGGGGGTTCATTTGAACTGATTGGTTTAAGCCAAGAGGGGTGTTCATGCTGAACTACATGGTTTCCCATCATGTTATCAACCACCATAAACTACTGGGGGGTCACCTGGCATCCCAGGTATTTCCCTGTCTCATGCTGATTGGTGGTTGCTAGGGGGTTGCTATGGGTCCTCACCTAGCCTGACGGAGTCAGGGACACCTGGTGCAGCAGATCTCTCCTGTTATTTGTAGACAAACAACTCAGCAGGTGGGTATGTGCTTAGGAGTGCTCTGTGGGTTTTTCCAAGGACAAAGGTCACACCCCCTTTCTTTGTCAGGCTTTGTGCTGAGGTAGAGGCTGGTTTCTCAAAAATGGAGTCCCACTAGTTTCTCACATTAAAGGGTAAGATAAGGTGTCAATTGAAAAGTACCAGCCCTAGCTTGGCCCCAAGGCTCCCCGTGAGTGTTCTCAGACACAAGTTTATTCCTGTAGTTGTTTATGATGATTCTCTCAAGTGACAGGCAAGACAGACAACATGTCTGTCAGGAGCTGCCACATAGGAACCAAATGCCCCTTAGCATGGAGCAATGAGAATGTGGAGATGCGACAAGCCAGCCATGGGCTACGTGTGTGTGTGTGTGTGTGTGTGTGTGTGTGTGTGTGAACTAGGAGCACTGAGTGCCAAAGTGGACTGAACCCACGTTGCCCCTGTTTGGATGGGCCTTGCTCTGGTCTTCTTGCTGGCTCTGCCTATGATCCCCACACAGCTCATGAGATGGGCATGACCTCCCTAGATGTCAGTCAATCTGCTGACAGTAGACATCACAAAGCTATAGACTCAACCCGCTGAAACCTGACCCCTGGCCTCATTTGAATAGCTTCTCCCCAGTAAAAGGGTTCAGCTCCTCTCTTTCCACAGACATCTAAGATCAGAGGAGCTGTCATGGGGCTGGGGATGTGGCTCAAGTGGTAGCGTGCTCGCCTGGCATGCATGTGGCCCAGGTTTGATCCTCAGCACCACATACAAACAAAGATGTTGTGTCCGCCAATAACTAAAAAATAAATATTAAAAAAATTCTCTCTCTCTCTTCTCTCTCTCTCTCTCTCTTTAAAAAAGAAAGAAAAAGAAAATGGTATTTCTCTGTCTCTGTGTGATTGTTTCATGCCAGCCCAGTTCACCTGGAGTGACCTTAAGTGTTTAGTCGGATGTGATACATGTCCACTCTGCAGATGAAGAAACTGAGGCCCTGAGTGACATCAGAGCAAAGATGCCAAAAGCAAAGACACTAGTTAACCCTTATGGGAAAATTCCCTTTCACCTTTCTAGATAAACGTCCTTAAAGGTAACATCCTTTCAAACATCCTTCAAGGTAAACAGGGGGTAGACATCTGCCCCATTTTAAATTAGAGGAAACTGAGGCATGTGGGTGGGGGCAGGTGGTTCTAGGGACTTGCCCCAGGTCATGCAGCCAAAAAGTGGCTGCCTTTCTTCATGCTGCAAGTTTTGGGATCCAAAGACAGGTTCAAATCTACCACACATGCCCACTCTCCTCTGCATCTGGAACATATCACCTGGTAATCTGTTCACTGGTGGATTTCCTCAGTCACATTTCAGATGCTGGCTTTTTCTGATAGTAGGAAATACAATGACATGGCCTCACTGCCCAGGACTCCTCAAACTTCTTGGCACAGGAATGCAACATTACTTATTTGCAGACAACTAAAATTTAACACGCACTCACAGTGCGGTACATGCAAAAATCCTGATACCTGGACAAAGGGTAGCACGAGATTAAGGGTAACTTTGTGCAGGAGCTCGGGGAAGCCTGGAGAGCAGGGCTTGTCAGATCTCAATGGATGGTCATAAGTCATGACAGGCACAGGACCACAGTGGAGGTGGCCAGCACCCACCTCTGCTGTTTCATACATGCACTCCAACCTCCCCCTGGGCTGCTCTCTGCTTTCAGAGGGTACAAAGACCTTAATGTAACAATGACCTGCTAAGTTCATGGCAGGAGAGCCATCCAGAGGGCCAGCCTCTGTTGCTAGGTGCCCACTGTCAAATGATATCAGACCTTTTGTGTACCGGGGGGAGCAAGCTGAGGCTGCAACAGTAATGGCCAGCTCCTGCTGCTGTGTTCATACAACTTCTAGCTCCCTTTTTGACCAGAGTCCTTCCTAAGAGAAATGGTGTCTGCAACAGGAGACAACCCTGGGCCCCAGTCGGTGGCAAAGTTTGAGCCTCTACTATTATATTCACACAGCTATAAACGCCTTCATTGCCAGGCTATTGACCTCCTGGGACAAACAGGAATGTGAATGAATGCAGGGGAGGAGAGCTGGACCCCGGTGGGCCCAGGTCTCAGACCAGTTGTGTAAAGGATCCGCAGTTCTGTGGGGAACACAAGCAACCTCATCAGCTGGGAAAGTCAGAGAAAGGGCAAATGACAACAATGGGAGTCAATCACAATGCCCAGCAGGCACAGATGAAAGAGTCTCAAAGCCAGACCCCAACTGACAGGACCAGAACCTTGGAGAGGTACAGTCGGTCCTCTCCCCAAGTTGACCCGCAAAGCTTCAATGTCTACCAGGGGGAAGTTTGTGGAGCTACTACCGGCTCTGCTGCTGGCTTCAAAGGCCGGTCAGGTCTCCTGTGGGCCCTTGGATCAGGAGGCCAAGGTTCCCTCAAGGGCTCAAAGGAACTTCAACCCAGTGTGCTGCCAGGGACAGCTAAATGCAGGTGTTACTGCTATGTCACCGTCCGCGCCCAGAGGTGAGAGCAGCATCACCCAAGGAAGAACCAGCCTGAAGGCAAAGCCACAGCTGCTTCTGCGAAGGCCGGCTCACCCACAGCTCCCACCGTGCCAGATGGCACCTCTGCGCTCCAGATGGGAGGACCAGCCTGGGGACCTGGCACCTGGTCACCAAGCGCCTGAGGGGACTTCCGGGACCCTGAGGGCAACTTGCCCTGGAGGTGGCACCTACCGACCTCTGGCGGCACCGGAGGGCACTCGCGTTCTGGCACCTGGACTACAAGGCGCCTCCCGCCTGCAGTACCCACAACGCCCCAGGAAACACTTCCAGTCATTTTCTAAAGGCTTCAGATTGGGGTCTGGGACGTCTCCCAGGAGCCCAGGCTGGCGACCCTACGTCTGCTCCATGCCCTCCCCACCCCACCGGCCCAAAACTCCTCAGGGTTTTGCACCTGTTGCTGCTCCCTGCCTGGAACGGTCCACTCCCTTTTTGTCCTAGGCCAGTGCCCTCCACTCTTTTCTGATCACCTATTCACATTTCTCCCCACATCCTGCAGGCCGCAGGTCACAGGGCATCCTTCCCTTCTACTACACCAGCCCCACCCAGGCCCTGTAGCCTCAGGAAGCCCAAAAGACCCACAGATGGAGTCGAAACTCTCTTGGAGTAGCGGCTCTCATATCTTTGGCTTTGTCCGAACGGGACCTCCCCTCCTCCCCCAAATCAGGTCTCTGGTAGAGGACTCTGGAGTAAGGTCTTGGGGAACACTGGGGGATATGGCTTTTCTCTATTTTCTTCTTCTCCTCCTCTTTTTTTTTTTTTTTCCATACCAGGGATAGAACCAGCAGCACTTAACCACTGAGTCACATCCCCAGCCCTTTAGAGACAGCGTATTGATGAGTTACTTAGCGCCTTGCCAAATTGCTGAGGCTGGCTTTGAACTTGCAGTCCTCCTGCTGCTAGGATTACAGGCATGTGCCATCAGCCTGGCTGCTTCTCTGCTTCCTTACCCAGCTAGACACAGACTTCTATGTTCACAGTCGAATTTATTCTCGCTGCGGCAAAACCCGGAGTCATGGCCAGCCCTGCTGGGATAACAACAGCTTTATGCAGGTCCAAGATGGAGATGGGTGGAGTGAGGGTGGCCTGAGGCCTGAACCTAAGAGCCCCAATTTATTTTTTACCTTTATTTTATTTATTTATTTTTATGTGGTGCTGAGAATCGAACTCAGGGCCTCGCACACGCTAGGCGAGCTCTCTACTGCTGAGCCACACCTCCAGTCCCAGCAACTCCATTTTAAAACCCAAGTTTGAATCATGAAGTCTCACCAGGCACACCTAAAGGAGCCCTCCAGTATGGCCCTCAGCCACAAACAAGTCACTTCTTCCCACCCTAATAAACTCAGAGTGAAGCCTCTGGCAGGCTGTCCTCACTGATTACAGGGAAAAGGGCTTGATAAGAGAGAAAGGTGGAAAGATTAGGTTGGGGACCACCAGACCAGTTGTCACTGAGAGATCCCAGTGGCAGTTGATAAGGATTGAAAGGGGGGTCAAAAGCCCCCAAATTTGGTATAAATAATAGAGCAAATGAACAGACATTCAGCCATCCAGCCAACAAGGATGTCCTCACTCTGAGAGCCTGATGAGGACCTGGACTGACACCCTGACACTTTGTGTCATTTGCTGACCCTCTACAACCACATCTTGACCCTGGTGAGAGCCACAACTTGTCCCTAGGACCCTCTCCTTAACTGGCCATCAGCTCCACCCCAGAAGCCCAGTTCCTGATCGGATCACCACAGTCTGAGAGAGTGTTCCTCTGCTGGACTTGCTTGAGAGGGTTTGTTTGTTTGTTTGTTTGTTTGTTTGTTTGTTTGTAGTTATAGATGAACACAATGCCTTTATTTTGTTTATTTTTATGCGGTGCTGAGGATCGAACCCAATGCCTCATGCATGCTAGGCAAGTGCTCTGCAGCTGAGCTAGGTAGCCCTAGCCCAAGGCTTGAGACTTTGGATCTTGAACTTAGCACATCATGATTAAGTGTGTTTGCACTGCTTAGAATCAATCTAGAATTGTTTGCTGTGAATTAATTAATCTAGAATTGTTTGCTGTGAATTGATTATGTCTGTTGCAGTGCCTAGAATTAAGGATTGTTGTTTTCTTGATTAAGAACGGATAGAGTGAAATTGTAGTGAGTGATTTGAGTGAAAAAATCATTTACCAGGGCAGAAGCGTGGGCACATTCTTTATTTCTCCCCGTGGACTGCAGGAGTCGCATCTTTCGCCCACAGTGACAGTGGGTTGGTATTGGTCTCTGCCCCCTCGTACTTCCAGTGCTGGCCAGGTGGTCAGAGCTTCCAGGTTCCTTCGCACACCGCCTGGTGTATGTCCGCTGTCAGGGGCCGGAAGGCCTGGACGCGGTTGTCCAGTATGAACACGGGGTCACCGATGACACTCACATCAAAGCCCTCACGCACCAAACGGGGCTTCACCAATTTGAACGTGCTGGTGATCTCCAGTACCTCCTACGGGGCGGACATGGTGACGACAACGGTGAAACTCCTCTGTGGAGCCTGGGCCGCGATCCCTCGGCCGCCCGGGCTCACCTGGATACGGATGAAATGCGGGACGGCGTACGCCGGGAGCCAAGCACGGACATGCCGATACAGCTTCTGCCCATCGAAAGTCTGGCCCGGAGCCAGCTGCACGGCAGCCATGCCCACCTTCCCCTCGCACCCTGGGAAGCACACCTGTCACTCTCGGCTGGCCCTCCAACCTGGCCCAGTTCTGCTCAGTGGCTGTGACACTGGACAGTAAACCACTGGGTCACCGCGGTTCCCCTGGCAGAATCGAAATAACCACCTCCGCCCACAAAGCTTGTTTAAAACAAGCAAACTCCTCGCACCTGGCACACACACGCCGTAGACATTCACCTCCTGCAGGAAGTCCACCTGCGACAGCACGCCCTCCACTTCCCTGGTGGAAACGTTCTCACCCTTCCATCTGCAGGGGCGGGAGGCAGGGCTTGGGACCGCGCCCCCGGAGGCGGGAAGCCCCGCCACCCCCTCAGCGCCGTCTCCTCTGGGTCCCTGGGCCCCAGAGGCCCCGCCCCCAGCCCGGCCCCGACCGGAAGGTGTCTCCCAGGCGGTCCCGGAAGTAGAGGAAGCCGGCGCCGTCCAGGGCCAGGACGTCCCCGGTGTTGTAGTAGACGTCGCCCCGGCGCCGCACGTCCGACACCAGCTTCCGCTTCGACTGCTCTCGGGGCCCGCGGTAGCCCAGAAAAGGGTGGCGGCCTAGGACCCGCGTCAGCAAGAGACCGGCCTCCCCTGCAGGAGGAGGAGTAGAAAGAGGGAACCGAACCTCGGCCGCCCCAGCCCCGCCTCGGTTTCCCCAGGGTGGTGGGCTCTTCGCCTGGCACGGCGGGGGGGGGAGAAGGAGTAAAGACCCCGAGGAGACAGGCGCCGGGGCGTCAGGGAGCCCGTGAGAAACAGGAAAAGGGTGACAAGGAATGGGCAAGGAAAAATGGCGGTGGGAAGAAAGACAGGGCCAGGTCCTTGCAAGGCCCCAGGAGAGAAGACAAGAAGGTACAGGACAAGGGACTGATGCCCAAGAGACTCTGACCCCCGCAGAAAGCAACTCAGACACCTAGAGACCCCACAGTGAGAGCAAGAGACTGAGGCAGGGGAGCTGGCCCCAGGTGGTAGTCAGACAACCCAGGGCCTGGAGATCGGATGGGGGCTGCAGACACCCCAGTTGGCACCCATCTCAAGGCTTTGGGCCGCTTGTTCCAGAGGTGGAGAAGGAGACTACAAGTGTCCACTCCTCCAACACCAGAGAAAACTACCTCCATACCTGGCTCCACAGGGATGCAGAAGCCCTGCTTGTCCCTCACAGGTTCCGCTGCCTCTGTGTCAAACTGCACAAGCTCAAAGGGAGACAGGACCTGGGTGGAGGATAGGGGGCATTGCAGAGGTCCTTGGGGTCAGCCTCAAGGCCACTGTAACATGGGTGCCCTACCCACTCACTCGAAGGAGGCAATTTGTCTTGCCCACAGCCCCACAGTGCCCCGGATAGTTCACAAAGCCCATGTTGCCCTCCGTGGAGCCATAGAATTCCCAAATCCGAATGGGACCGAAACGCTGCTGGAAGGTTTCCCACACATCTGCCCGTAGTCCATTGCCCATTGCAAGACGGACTGTATGTGTTTGGTCCTCTGGTCGCTGCAAAGACATCACAAGAAGAGTGAGGAGGAGACAGTATGTCCAGGAACCTTTTCCCAGGGGAGGGGGGCTATGTTGGGTCCTTATCTTAGGAGTTATCCTGGGGGATGACCTATAACTAGATCTACTTGGGGTTCTTTATTATTATTATTATTATTATTATTATTTTAGTTGTCAATGGACCTTTATTTTATTCATTTATATGTAGTTCTGAGAATCAAACCAGTGCCTCACATGTACTAGGCAAGTGCTCTACCACTGCACTTTGACCCCAGCCCCTACTTGAGGTTCTTAAGGATATTAATTGCAGGTAACCTGTAGAAGTTACCTGAGAGCTTTGCCTCAGGAAAGTTAACTGGAGGTCACTCCTAGGTTGACTGGAGACCACATCCATCTGGGGGTCTTACTGGGGAGGAATATGTGGGGTCTCACCTGGGGGTAGTTACCTGGAACTCTGACCTGGCAGGGGTTACCTAAGGTAATCTAGAAGGGAGCCTTTATTTGAAGGTAACCAGGGGAGTGACGTATAGCCTCATCTTGAGCAGTTACCTGAAGCCTTTCTCTGAGTTACCTTGAAACTTAACTGGGAAGGATACCTGGGGACCTTGCCTAGAGATAGTTACCTGGGAACCATACCTTATTGCTCTGTATGAGGATGTGAGTCTACCCTTGAGCTACACCCTGTCTGGGCACTTTACATATATTTAATTCATTTAATTTTGACAATACTCCCTCAGGGAGGGGCTATTCTTGTCTATATTTTTCAAATGATGACACTGGTAAACTCACCTGCCCAAGCTAATCATCAAAAGTTCCCCAACCTTGTGTATAATTCATTATCTGGGCATTTGCCCAGATAATGTTTTACCTGAGGAACCTTGCTGAGTTCAACACTTGAATTTTCTCAGGGTGCTGGAGATTGAACCCAGGGCTTCACACATGCTAAATGCATGCTCTACCTTTGAGCTACACCCCATAGGACCAAAGGTGCCACCACCAACTGTCGGGAGCTGCCAAGTAGGAACCAAGAGCCCCTTAGCCTTGAGCGATGAGAATGTGGAGATATGGCAAGCCAGCCATGGGCTGTATGTGTGAACTATGAGCCCCGAGCACACAAAGTGGACTGAACCCACGTTGCCCCTCTGTTTGGGCAAGCTTCCGCTCTGGTCTTTTCGCTTGCTCTGCCTGTGATTCCTACATAGCTCATGAGATGGGCATGGCCTTCCTAGATGTCAGTCAGCCTGCTGACAGTAGACAACACAAAGCTAAACTCAACCCCCTGAAAGCTGACCCCTTGCCTCATTTGAATGGCTTCTCCCCAATAAAGGGTTCAGCATGTGCCTCAGTCTCTTTCCACAGACCCCTAAGGTCAGAGGAGCCATCACAAGACCCAAAGAAAAAGGTATTTCTCTGTCTCTGTGCGATTATTTCATGCAGCCCAGTTCACCTGGAGTGACCTTGAGTGTTTAGTTGTGGGAGGAAACAACCAACCCCTACCAGTACCTGAATCTTTTTTTTTTTTTTTTTTTTTTAGAGAGAGTGAGAGAGGGGGGAGAGAGAGAGAGAATCTTTAATATTTATTTTTTAATTCTCAGCAGACACAACATCTTTGTTGGTATGTGGTGCTGAGGATCGAACCCGGGACGCACGCATGCCAGGCGAGCGCGCTACCGCTTGAGCCACATCCCCAGCCCCAGTACCTGAATCTTATCTAAGAATTCTACTTGGGATATTATCTGGGATTTCATGCCTGGAGTATTCAACATGAAACCTCATCCTAGAACCTCACCTGGGGAACATTACACAGGTACCGCAGGATCTCGCCTACATACAGGATCACCGTCACACCATGCTGCCGGCAATCATTCCAGAAGCGGGAGGCAGAAAATTTGGGGGCCAGGACACAGGTGGCTCCTGGGAGGAAGAGAAGGAGTGAGTTTCAAATCATGCTTGCAAGTAACTGTGAGAAACTGCTTTGAATGTGTGATTGTGGCATGTTAGAAAATGGGACAATGTCAATCTCATTTCTGTGCCCAGCAGGACTACTCCCATGAGAAGAGTATAGGGAGGCCTGGATTCAAGTCTTGTTTCTAGAAGTATGCAAAGCTCACTACCTGGTATAAGGTAAACATTGCCAAATAAGGGCTGGCGATTAATTATTCTCAAATTTGATAAGTGAATGACTAGTAAAATAGAAGGGTAAGTGGGAGGATGGGTATGGTGGATGGGTGGAAAGGTGACTTGGTGGGTAGATAGATTGAATGGGGAATGCATGGATGGATGGGTGAGTGGTGGCAGGGGTGGGTGGGTACATGGATAGATGGGTGAATAGAAAGATGGATAGATAGGTGTAAGGGTGGATGAATGGACAGGTAAGTAGGTAGAGAGATGAATGGGAGAATAGGTGAGGAGGAAGGTGAGTAATTGGGAGGTTTGGTAGGAGGGCATATAGTATTGGCTGATGGCACATAGATTAGTGATAATATTTAGGGCCACTATGTTCACTCCAGAAAAGTGATTCTTCCCTCCTGATCCCTACGTGACATCTGGTTCATCATCCTACACCCAAGGGGTAGCTGCTTGTGTGCCTGGTGAGGTAACAAATGTGTCTTCTCTGAGACTGTTTTTTTTGGGAAAAGTAACAATGCTCTCTGTGAAAACACAACCCAGGTCACTGAAATTGGCAGTTTTGCTTCCAATCCCTAAGGAAACATCTGAATTGCAAAAGAAGCAACTAGGGAACCTTGATGGAGAGACTTCCCAGTCCATCTCAACCTCTCTAAGGCAGGTAACAGACATAAGTGCCCCCAGTGTGACAAATGAGGAATCAGCAAGATTCTTGGGGTGTAGTTCGGGTGTGGTTCAGTGGTAGAGAATTTGTTTAGTATATATGAGTCCCTAGATTCAAGCCCCAGCATGTGAACAAATAGCAAAACAAAGCAGAAACTGAACCTAAAACGCCTTTAGAAGGCCTTTCATTCAATCTTACAGGAAATCCTGGAGGAAAGAGGAATGGACACCTAACAAGTAAAGGAAACACGGAGACTTTAACTGAAAAAAAGCAATTGGGGAGGGCTGTGGTTGTGGCTCAGTGCCAGAGTGCGTGTCTAATGTGTGTGAGGCACTGGGTTCAATCTCAGCACCATATAAAAATAAATAAAGTATTATGTCCATCTACAACTAAAAAAAAAGGCAATTGGGGAAATTTGAATATGGACTTGACACAAAATAGTACTAAATGGTTGTGTTTTTTTTTTTTTTGTTTTTTTTAATTTAGAGACGGGGTCTGGCTAAGTTACTTAGGGCCTCACTGAGTTGCTGAGGACGGCTAAGTTGCTGAGCCCTGGTACCATAAAACAAACAAAAATTCTAGAATTTCCTCTAAAATAATCTGGAAAGAAGAGTACATATAGAAATAAAACTGGCACCATGTTGACAACTGTTGAAGGTGGGCAAGGATATATATAAGACACCAGCAAACTATCTGTACTTTTGTGTGTTTGAAATTTTCCACAAGAAGCTGGGCATCATGGCACACACCTATAGTCCCAGCTGCTCAGGAGGCTGAAACAAGATATTCTCCTGAATCCAGGAGTTCAAGACAAGTCTGAGTGACTTAGCAAGCAAGATTCTGTCTCAAAAATACACATATTTAGGGGCTAGAGTTGTGGCTCAGTGGTAGAGCGCTCGCCTAGCACATGCAAGGCCCTAGGTTCAGTCCTCAGCACTGCACCACATAAAAATAAATAAAATAAAGATATTGTGTCCACCTAAAACTAAAAAGTAAATATTTTTTAAAAATATTTATATATAAGCTAGACACAGGGGAACATGCCTACAGTCTCAGCGACTGGGGAAACTAAGCTTGGAGGATTGTGAGTTTGAGGCCTACATCAGCAAATTAGTGAGAATGTGTCTCAAAAGCAAAAATAAAAAGGATTGGAGTATAGCTCAGTGAATTTAATCCCCAAGCAACACACACACACATACACACACACACACACACGCGCGCGCGCGAGAACCTGGGGTACTGGGTAACCTATGAGATTGTCGCCTGGACCACCCCACCCTGACACCCACTCCAAAGGTTCCACTGATTGGAGGGATTTTCAGAGAAGGGCTTACCAAGCTCTAAGCAGCTGAGGATCCCAACAACAAGCCCCATCACATGGTACAAAGGCAGGACAGTGTAGACCACATCATCAGCTGTGGCCCCACAAAAGGGCAGCATCTTGGTCATCTGTAGTACACGCTCATGTGAGAGGATGGCTGGCTTTGGGAGCCCTGGGGAAGGAAGGAGTGGGAGGTGAGTGGTGAAAAGATAGCACAGCAGAGCCATAACAGAGGGGCAGCTCTGCAGTCAGGCACTGGGCTTAAGGCCTCAGAGGGGTCAAGTAGGAATCTGTGGCTGTATTCTGAGGCTGAATTCCAATAGGGAGTAATAGGTAAAGACTAATGGTCAGTAGGGTTTCAGTTCTATTTATTGGACAGAGGCAGGATTTCTGCGTTGACCACCCAAATCACACTGGGAATCAGAGTCAAGACCAGATGTCTGAATCAGAAGGCAGGTGTCAGAGGACAAGTGGCAGGCACAGGACATGTCAGGGTGGTGTCAGGTGAGAGTTCAGAGGCGGGGCTGGGGCTGCGGGGTACCCTCACCGGTGGTCCCTGAGGTGTAGATGAACAGGGCAGGGCTTTGCCATGTGACCTCAGCACGCAGGTCAGCAGGCACGGGGTCAGAAGGAGCAGCCTCCAGGGCAGCCCCCAGAGCCCCCACACCTGGCGTAGGGGAGACATGACTGAGGTAGAAGCAGCGGATGTTCTCAGCCTGCAGCTCAGGAAGGACTTCTTCCAGGTTCTCCTTAAGATCTGCAGGAATGGCCAGAGGAAAACTGAGGCAGAGCTTACCTGTGAGGTCAAGCGGGGTACCCGAGACCCAGAGGCAGACAGCAACTAGCATTCTTGGGCAAAGAATTCCATAATTAGTAATTTTATTTCTTTTTTTTCAAAGAAGGATTGAAACAGTAATTTTGGAAAAATTACAACCATTGGCCCCAGGATTAGCTTCCAATTATGCCAACTTTTGACCCTAATTATCTGTGACATGAGCCGGCGGGAGCAAAGGGCTCTCTTCCCACCCCCCACCAGAACTTCTGACCTTCAGTCCAACCCTTGCCCCTATCCCCTTCCCTCCTCCACTGGCCCTGGGGCCCTCACCTGTGTCCACTAACAGCAGCTGTGCCCCAGAGCTCAGCACAGAGTGTACCAGGGGTGTCCCCCGGACATGTGGGTTGATCCAAGCCACTGGGCAGCCCAGTTTGGCCAGCCCCAGCCATACAGTCAGAGCAGGAATGGCCTGGGAAGTCGGTACCAGGAGGGCAGCTGCCTTCCTGACACCCAGGCCTGGGGGGTTGCCCAGCTCATTCTTCAGGGCCCATGCTGCCTGGCAGGCCTGGGCATCTAGCTCACCAATGGTGACCGAGCAGGCCCTGTGCCCTGTCCACACCAAGGACACCCGACCAGGTTGTGCTCTTGCTTGTCGCTCGAAGGCATCCACAAAGGTGTCTGGAGGCTGTCGCCTCAACTGTGTCCTGATGTTCCATCCTAGGTAGAGGATCTTGGCCAAGTAGGCCATATCTGCAGGCAGCCAGCGTAGCCCTGGGGGGGGCCGTGCAGGTGATAGAATCAGTGTCAGAAGCACAGCCACCAGGCTCAGCCAGTGGGACATCCAGGAGCCGATCCAGGGCTGTGCCAATACCACCAGGCCAAGCAGCAAGAAGCATGTAGGGTCTCCCAGGAGCCATCGCAGGGTCAGTACCACAGCAGGTAGCCATATGGGCTGCTCCAGACCCCACAGCAGTAGCAGCAAGAACAGCAGAAAGGCCAGCCACTGCCTGATACCCATGGCACCAGCTCTGTCCTTGGAGAAGTGGCTGTGGAATGCACTCTCACCTCTGTCCCTGGGTTTCCTGGCCTTGGCCTCCTGCCCTCAGGGCAGCCTGTCCACCCCTCCCCCAGATGACGGCCCACTGACATCTGACAGTGGCTGCTCCGCCCTCAGCTCTGTTCCTCCTATTTGCTTTCTCCTCCTGGTCTTGTGTATAGTCCCAGCCCTTCTTGCCTGTTTACCAGGCCTATCCCCCTCTCTGCTGCAGGCCTCACGGCCCCCAGGTCTCTTCTTGAGCACAAATGCCAGTCTCCTTTCTGCTTGTCCTGCTTGTCTAGTTCTCTTTCCAGTGTGGGGACAAGTATATGGAGTACTGCATACATGGCGTACGTTAAGGGTGTTGAGTAGCAAACCACTTACCCCATAGGCACAGCCCTGGGTGTGAGGCCCTGTGTTGCAGTCCCTGTGCTTGCTCCATGGCCCACTCCTAGATTGGTCACTGCAAGGACAGTTGGCAGAAATTGCATTGGTGGCTGCCTGTCATCTGCTTAGCTACTGCCTGACTACATATACATGGTAACTGTGCAATAAAATCAGACCTGCTTCCGGCTTGGTCTCCGGAGGTCTTGATTAGCAACTCTGCAGCCACCCTCTATTCTATCCTGTTCCATGGACCTCCTTGCTGGACGAAAGAGCCCACACATTCCAGGGCTGGGAACTGCCTCCTTCCCCTTCCATCCATGCTTACTATATTCCAGGCATTTGGGAGACAGAAATCCCAGCACTGGGAGTGTTTCACTCAAGTCAAATGGAAAAGCTTCAGGTACTCTGCTGACCTCACTGGGTGGTCCTCCTGAAGTACTCACTAGCCCCTTGGGGAGATGAGGTTCTGCTGGGTTAAGCCTTTTGTTCCCAGTGATCAGGCGTCCCTAACCTCCTGCCAGGTGCACAGCAATATAGCTCAGAAAATAAACACCTGCAATGCCTGAATTCAAGCCTAGCTGTCCACCACAGGCCTGCACTGGGACTCTGCCTCACCTCCACATCAACAGGGATTGAGCTTGGGGTTCAGAAGTTTAATTCTTCCGGTGATGTGTGGTTTCCCCTTGCCTCTGGAGGCAGTGACAAGTAGGACTAGGGCATGGCCCTTCTGGCTGTAACTCCCCTCCACTGGATCCAAATCCTTAAAGCAGGGTACCCAATCCAGGAGCTGTCAGTGCACTGGGAGTGGGAGAAGGGGGACCCCTCTGGGTTGGCAGAGGTCTGATGCAAGGTCCTGAGACATCATCTTAACTTGGGTGGCCACCTTCATCCAACCAGCCCTAGGGTCTCTGGCTGCTCTTGCACCTTCCCCCAGGGCCAACTAATTCACACTGCACTCTAGTACTTGGCACCCAGTAACAAAGGTAGGTATCCTGGGCTCATATACCTTCAAGCAGCCTGGCTCCAAAGGACCCCCTGGGTGAGTTTTGCGGTCCCCCTCATTTCAGATGGAGGGCCTGGCCTACAGCTCTGAGTGAACTGACCTTCAGTCGTATATGCAACTCACTCTAGATACCCAGAACAGAATCCCACGGCAGGGTGCTGCCCAGAAACGTGGATGCCTGATGTTCCTAGCCCAGCCAGTCTACAATGGCAGTATGCACTGACCAGAGTCTTTTATTATAAAGTGAGAAGTGAGAGTTCCAAGGTCTGACCTATTCCATGATGGGTCCATCTGGGCTTTCTCAGGCCCTGGATGAGGAAGGGGTAGTGCCAAGTGGGGCCCAGGGACATCATTCAACCAATATTCAGACAGAGCTGTATCCCAACCCTACAGCTAATGGGAGGCGCGCGCAAATCAACACCAGAGATTTAAACCCTGGACCCAGTTCCTAGGGCCTGTGAGCCTACTTTCAGACTGGAAATGGTCCAGTTCTTAGTGGCCAGGTCTCTGACTGTCCCCTTTGTGGACCTTGCCCTACCTAGAGGGTCCAAGGACGTGGAAGAGAGGAGTGACGGAGCAGGCCCTGTGCCCTGTCTACACCAAGGCTGGGCCCCAGGTTCAGTCTGGAGAAAGGGATAGGGCAGGGAAGAGTGGAGTGGTGGTGAAGGAAGGCAGCAGTAGCCAACTGCTGTGGGGCGCAGTCGATTCTTGGTGGGTGTAGCCAGATCCCGCGTCAGGTGGCAGGGTGCGCAGCCAGATGGCGCTCCAGCAGCGCTCTGTGCGAGAAGACCTTGCCACAGGCGGGGCAGGGAGCGCGCTCCGGCCGGTGTGTGCGCATGTGCACATTGAGGGAGCTCTTCTGTGTGAAGCGCTTGGCGCAAACTGCACACTGGAAGGCGCGCACGCCAGTGTGTGTGACCATATGCTTGAGCAGGTAGTCGCGCAGCGAGAAGGATCGCCAGCACACTGCGCACTGGTGTGGCTTCTCACCTGGGGACAAGGAGGGCAGTACATATGCGTCAGACCACTCAGCTCTCCCGGCACCTGCTATGGCAGGGGCTCTGGTCCTCTCCCCTCCCTAAGTAGCCATTACCCCCCAGGATTAAGAGCCTGTCAGGGAAACTTCCCAATTCTGGAGTCCTGGACCCACACCTTCATCCAAGGGTGCCATTGTCTGGCAGGTATGCCCCAGCAGGGAACCCTGCCCTGGAATATCCACTTGTGTCTGGACTCCCCACTGGGAACTCCCCTGACTTTCAGGACCTTCCTCCCTAACACTGGGCCTATATAGGTAGAGCCTTCTGAACTCTCTGACTGCCAATCACTATTCTTTTTTCCTTTTATTTTTTTTTTAAATTTTATTTTGTGGATTGAGTCCAGGTGCACTGTACGGCTGAGCTACATCTCCAGCTCTTTTTTTCTTGGGGGGGGGGGGTACCAGGGATTGAACTCAGGGCCACTGAGCCACATCCCCAGCCCTATTTTGAATTTTATTTAGAGACAGGGTCTCACTGAGTTGCTTAGTGCCTCACCATTGCTGAGACTGTCTTTGAACTGGAGATCTTCCTGTTTCAGCCTCCCCAGCCATGAGAATTACAGATGTGCACCACGGGGCCCGTGCACCACGGTGCCCGGCTAACCTTTTTAATGTATTTGAGATAGTGCCTCACTAAGTGGCACAGACTAGCCTTGTAATTCTCCTGCCTCAGCCTCCTGAGTTGCTGAGATTAAAGAGGTGTGCCACTGCACCCCGCTTTGCCAGTTACTATTTTAAGGACAGTCTAGTAAGGCCCATCATGCCTACACAAGGAGAGATCAGGACACATCTGCCCCTTCCTGCTGGAATCCCCAGTCAGAATCCTGACTGTTGCCACTACACTGTCCCCAGGGTGAGAGGCTGCACTCATCACCCTGGACTGCAGGGGAGACAGACTGTTAGGCTCTCCAGTCATCATGCATTGACAATGTCTATCTCAGTACCAAGGGACTGCAGGGCAGCGCCTGCTGGGGTAGGGTGAGGGTGACTGTCTCCAGACCAACCAGGCTTGGGCACTTGGCTTAGGTCATACATGTCTTGCAAGGTTGGCACTACCTTGGAGTCCTGGCAGCATTCTGCATGCCCATCACCCAGCTCCCTTGTGTCGGGCAGGATAGCAACCAGATGGAGATTTTGATCTGTGACATCTATGTCACTCCCCAACTGAGACAACACCAACGGCTTTCCCACGCCTCAAAGTCAAATCCCAAGTTCTGGCCCCTGAAGAGCCTCTGGATTCAGTCCCACTGTAATGGTTTTGGTTTTCCTGACAATGGTCAGCTCTGCCGGCTGGCCAGCTTCTGCTTTTCATACTCCTGTCCCAACCCAGTCCCCGAGAAACAACCTTACCCAGGACCTACCCACCACCACCCCAGGCCACCTTCCTGCTCTACTGCTCCCTGGCCCTGGGGAGACACCTCCCTGGCCAAGATCAGAAGGAAGTTCCCCATGGTCTTTGAGGCCTGGTTCCCCTCGGGGCCTGTGCGGTTCACATACTGTGGCCATGTCTTCTCCTAAAACTCCAGCCCACAGGGCTACTCCTCAGCCTTCACTCAGCTGCCCCTCTGCCAGCTTCCCCCACTCTTCCTAGGTCAGGGAACACACCTGACTGTACCTCAAGCCCCAACCACCTAGTGAACAGCTGGAGAGATGTGGGAGACTACCTGGAGCTCTACCCCCATACCCCAATTCCTGCTCCATCTCTCCTGCCCCCCTCCAGGCCCCACCACAAACTTTTCAAAGGCCTGGATTTATAGGTGTGCACCCTAAGCCAGGCTCAGGATTCCCCATCCCCCAAAACAGGAGGGGAAGACACAGGCAAGAGTACCTATTACTCACGAGACTACCCCCCCAACATGCCTCATATTTGGAGGGTTCAATTTCCAGCCCCCCTGGAGTAACACAAAAGCAACAAAACCACATCAGTGCCCAACTGCCCCTAGGGCTTGAATCTCCAGTGACCAGGGGGCTGAGAAAGGTGGTCCTCCCGGATCCCCTTGGCTCACCAGAATGGATGAACATGTGCTTGGTGTAGTTTTTCCGAGAGCTGAACGTCTTACGGCAGTGACTACACTCGTAGGCAGGCTGCTCTGCTCCGGGAACACGAACAGGGGGACCTGAAGGGGCACTGGCAGGCACCACAGGCGGGGCCAGGGCTTCCCCAAGCTGAGTGCTGGGGGCGGCCTCAGGCTGGAGTGCAGGGTAGAAGGTGGATGTGGGTGCAGGAGCTGGCCCTGATGGTGCAGGAGGGGTTGGCTGGGGTGGCCCCGGCGTGCCCAGGTGAAAGGGGAAAAGTGCTACAGGCATTCCTGAGGTTTTCACGCCAGGCACCCGGGGTCCTGCCAGGGAGCAGTCGGGTGGAGCAGGGGTCTCAGCAGGACAGCCTTCTGTGGCAGTGCCACCCTCCTCGTGCCAAGCAGATACATAGCTTTCTGGAAACACGTCCTCGGCCACCACAGCCCCGCGAAGGAAATCTCTGCCTGCACTGCCATAGTCAGTGAGGCCAGCAGAGGCAGGTGGGTCCTCTCGAGCGCTGTCCGCAGCAGCAGTGAGGAAGCCAGTTGCACAGTCAGGGAAAGAAGGGGGCGCCTGGCCCTCACCTGGGCCACCACCGTCACCATCCTCGCCGTCGGTTTCGCCATCGGTGTCCTCCTCATCCTCACCTCTATCCTCGGGAACTGGAAGTACTGGGTCTGCATCAGGACCCTCTATCTTGGCTGGGAGTGCAGGTAGCTGAAGACGTGCAGGCTGGCGTTGCTTGCGGCTATGTGCTACACCAGGGTGCCCCAGGGGTCGTGCAGCCAACAAGTGACGCAGGCGGTGGCGCAGCTGTGCAGGTGCCAGCGGTGGGGGCACAGGTGCTGGCAGGGGGGCTGGTGCAGGGGTTCCTGGGGCACGAGCACGTGCGATAATCTGTGTGCACTCATCTATTACTGTCTGGATGCGAAGCACGGATGCAGCTGTGAGCACCTGCAGAGCCTCACCCTGTGCCACCACAAGGGAGCCGCTATAGAGGAACTCAACCAGCTGGCGCACAGTCTGTGCAGGCACCACTGGTGGTACGCGGATCTCCGAGTGGCCAAGCAGCAGCTTGTCCTGAAAGAAGGGGGAGCCTGCAGCCAGCACGCAGCGGTGTGCTCGCAAGGAAGCCTCACGGATGCGCACAGTTACATCACAGAAGTGCCCACCAAGCCTCTGTCCATTGAGGGTCTCAAGCAGTGATCGAGAAAAGTTCTGCAGGTGGATATGGTGCACTGCCTCCGCAGCCGCCATCTACATAGGACAACAGAACCAGGAGAGGAGGTCAGCCCAGGACTCTCCTCTCCCAGTGTTCAGGGCAGGGCCAAGGGTGCACTGCACTCTAGACCTTGCCCACCCCATAGCTCCCCAGCAGCCCCTCACAGTCCTGGTTCACAACACACAGGACTCAGCCACCTCAAGTCTTCTTCTGCAATGCCCTCTGCCTCCACAGCCCCCAACATCCCTCTGGAAAAGGGTTAGGCATATCAGTTCCCAGGTGCTCCCCCATCCCTGAAGGTGCAGGGTTTACCTCCTCCTCTTCTTGGCCCACTCCACCCCAATTAAAATATCCTTAAGTAGCCAGGTGCGGCGGTGCATACCTGTAATCCCAGCCACTGGGGAGGCTGAGGTAGGAAGACCTCAAATTCAAAGCCGCCTCGGCAACTTAGCAAGGCCCTAAGCAACTCAAGGAGATCCCATATCTACATAAAATATGAAAAGGGCTGGGGATGTGGGTCAGTGGTTAAGTGCCCCTGGGTTCAACCCCCAGTTCTAAATATATATATCTCCATCCTTAAGTAGCCTCCCTCTGAATGTGTAGCTCTGTGTAGAGGAGCTAGAAACCCCCATTTAGGACCAGCTGCCCTGCCTCACTTAGCAGATCCTCATAAAGAAACACTAGCCGTGTTCATTCAGCTAGTTGTGGCCCCCACTCTGCCTGTTTTTCTTTTTTTGATCTTCCCTTTCCTACTTCTCAATCTTACTGCAGCTAATTTCCTGTGCTGACCCAGGAATGCTGCACCAGAATGGGGTTACATTAACTGGAATATGCAGGTCTTCACAGGTGGCACATCTGCCTCCTGGTCAGATCCATCTGGAGTATGCCTGGTCACATAGGAGTGAAGGTAGAAAGCTGGTCAACAGCTGGGCAGGTGCCCCAGGGTGTGTGACATAGAGAGGCGTTATATATGGACCTTGTGACTGAATGGGTAAGGGTGAAGCACCAGCAGGCCACAGCCGGTGTGAAGCCATGTAAGGAGCATGGCTGAGCAATCCTCATGCTTCTTGTGAACTGTGACCCTATGATCCAGGCACTGCCCAGCCTCAGTCACCAGAAGGGGGGGTACCCCCAGGGGATTCTGAGAAATGGCTACTTCACCCATCAAGGAGGTGTCCAGAGGGCCTGTTTTTCTGTCTATGGAATGGGATAGTTTACTCTGGTCATCTTACACCCAGAATGTACAGATTTCTGGTCTAAGAGGGAGAATCGACAAACCCTGAGACTGTCTACTCTCCACCAACTTGTCTCTCCAGGGTCACCACCCCGGAGTGGAGCCCCACTTAATCCTGCCCCTGTACCCTAAAGATCAGTTGGGGGTCTCAGTCTCAACTCTTCCCTCCCCATCTGCAAAAACCATCTTCCAGCAAGACCCCCAGCCACTAGGCACCAGTCACGGATGAAGTAACATTGCTGGTTCCCTCCACATCCTCCACCTCCAGGTTTATTCCCCAACACATCAGCCAGAGGGAGCCCGTACGGACCTAACAGACCAGGGCCCTTCTGATCTCAGAACCCTCCATGGCCCTGAATTAATTCCTCAGAGCCAAGCCTTTGCATCCACAAAGGCTCGTCTCCGCCAGCCGCACCGTTCTTCACGGGATCGGAAAGGAGGGCGGGGCACAAATCTGAGCACCAACCCGCGAGGCCCGAACCCTCTTTTTCCAGCCCGCCCCGCCCTGCTCCCCGAAGGGCTGATTCCCCAGCCCAGAGGCAGCGGGGCGCTCCTGGGTTCCTCCCCACAAAGGCCCACCCTCCTGGGACTGGCGTCGCACACTCGTAGCCCAGTCTTGGCCCACGCGCTGGACTCCAGGAGCCCAGTCCCGCACCGGGCACCACTGCTGGCGCCCGACCG